TTTTTGAATGCTTTTGCGGCTGCCTGCCAATGAACTCAATACGAGGTAAAATGACGATCACAGCATTGCTACGAGAACTGGCTCAATTTTTAGCCTACAATTCTCCGATTACCCTTGCTCTTTTCATATTTTTAACCAACCAGCGCATAGTTTTTTAGAAAATAAAAGAGCCAAATCTATATTTTGAATCTGCAGGTACCCAGCTACTCCTACTTCGGTGCGCCTGTTGGTATTCACGAACCAGCTTATAACAATTTCTTCAAGGTTCCATATCCGCAGTATTGTTTTTTTTTTTTGTTTTTTGTATCATCGTCATTTTATGCTTTTGCTGGTGCCTACCAACAAAATTTACATGTCAAAGGCAAAGTAATCGACAAAATCGACAGCTTTGCTGTCACTAATTGGCTGAACTTGTGTTGCAGTTTCCTGAATTTGTTTCCTCAAATGGTTCTGCTTTTTCCAATCAACCAGCGAATAACAGTGTCGCGACTGAAGTAAATAATCACAACTTCTTATTGCTGTGAACAATCAACTTTAGTGTATTTGAACTTTGCAGTTTCCCAATCTCTCTTACTTCGCTACGCCTATTGCCGCTAACCAGCCAGCTAATAGTAATTTTATTGAGGTGTGGCACTACCACTATCCCATACGCTTTACCTCTATTTATTTTTTAAAGCATAACAATAATTTTTTCTCAAATACTTCTGCTGGTGCTTACGAACCAATGAATAGTGATGTTTTAAGCGAAGTAAGTGATGTCAAAAGTGAGGTAAGACTCAATTTACAACAGCTATACCTGATTGGCGAGATATCTTACAGCCTCCCGAATATGCATCCTCGGACACTTCTGCTGTTATCGACCAATCAGGGAATGCGGAAACCAAAGTGAAAGGATCGAATCTAAAGATAGACCTCGCTGTACTTGTACTTTATAGGTTCCCGAAGGCACATACTTGAGCGAATGTGCTGGTGGTGGTCACCTATTAACTGACAGTGATCTCGGAATTGGTGTAAGTTAAGCCTCTTTGTGTATACCATGTGATCTGCTCAATCCATTTTTTAAAGTTTTCCTTTGAATCTTACTTAAATTCCTATGCTGATGTCTATCAACAAGGTAACTGGGATTACAAAAATAAAGTAAGAAATTTGGATTCTACTGCTGAAAGAGAACCGGTTAGCCTTTTTGCAGGTCTCCGATAATTCTTCTTGGGATTTCTGTGATGTAACGGACCATCCATTTGAATTAGATATAAACGAAGTGGTTTTTCCGCTCTCCGCTTAAAAAAACAAACTAGATAAGTGCATGCGTTTTAGAGCTTTGAAGCGATGCAGCAGCAGACCAGTAGAAATTCTGATTCAGGCACTCCTAACGTATGTGAGGTAAAACTTAAGCTTTGATCTTCTTTTCATGTTTTCAGCAGCAGCAAGTTCTAG